AGGAATGGTAACGCATGGGGGCTATCATGGGCGTAACAGTATACTCTGTTATGTCCGTGGTACTGCTCGTGTCTATAGACGACAGTTACCACTTTCTATCAGGTGGGCCGTCAACTTGTTTGCCATTCTAAGTTGTATAAAAAAAACCTTCCTCGAGAACATAAGGTGTCTATCTACACTAATTGAGGAAGGCAAAACTGCGAGATACGAGTAGTTCTAAATATTTATACTCAGCGACATTTGAAGTGTAGGGTTTTATTTTAGATTTCATTGAAATATTATCTGTAAAATGCCATGAGTTGTATTGATGGAGTAACCAAAACATAAATTGAATTTTGACCAATATAATTGCTGTTTAAAATGTCATAAATAATAAAGATTACAAAATTATATAACTAAAGATGTGTTCTACAAAAAAAAATCTAATCTAAATTATGGTTAAACCAGTTATTTTTATTTCAAAAATAAACTACTGATTTTGATAAAATTTCTAGAGTTTTTTATATCATTCATGAAAAAGGATTTTCCTCATAAAAGATAAAAATAGTACATTTTTAAAATGTCATTGATGGAATAATAAATATTACAAAATTATATAACTAAAGATGTGTTCCAATAAAAAAAAAACAAAATTTTACTTTTTAAATAAATTCATGACGAATAACGAAAACTAATAATTTTTCAGATTGTTCGTTTTTTTTATAAAAACAGTTTTCTATTTACAAGTATCTGTAATTAAATCTTTCGAGCCATGTTTCAAAAAAAAAGGTCAATTTTTAATTTACAGGACATCAGTTTACATATATATATCTGGCCGCAAAAAAAAAAGTACGGCAATTTTGATTTATCTCTAAGAAGATTGTCAAAATAATGCTCATATTTCCAAGCATGTTTGAAAAAAAATTATAATCGAATCGAGAACCCCCTACTTATCAAAGACGGTTGACAATGCAACATCCTTTTCGTCCACAGGATGTGGATTTACTGAGTCTAGACTTAACTGAATATTCTAAGTATAGACTTAGTTGTGGTAAATTATGTTGGACTTAGTAGTATTTATTAATTCTGTTTACGATCAAGATGACCATTTTAAATTTTGTTTGTTTTCTTTATTCGTAAATTAATATTTAGTAGTAGGTATTGAGGACAGAAGGGAAAAAATGTTAGGACACTTGATACGACACGACGAACTTATGAACATTATAATAGTAGGTAAGATAGAAGGAAGAAGGGGGAGAGGGAGACCGAGACATAGTTACATCAGGCAGATCAAGGAAGGAGTTGCTGTCGTGTCGTATCAGGAAGTGAAGAGACTCGCTGAAAATCGTAGTGAGTGGCAAGAGCTCCATTGACAAGAGCGCAGCTCTTAAATAGATAGATAGATAGATAGGTACAGTTCATGTTTCGGCTGTAAATAATAAATGTTATGTAAACCTTCATCAACTGTGAATAGATATTGTTAATTTTTTTTTTATATTTTATAAGATAATTTCTTTAAATTTACCGTTATAAACTTCGGCATATTTGAGAGCAAACCTTTTGTATTTCTTCCTTTAATAATTTTCACGAAAGAAATACCAAATTTTTTTACAATTTTTTAAATTGTTAGACGTCATCTATTTAAGTTTTTTTTATTGCTACTGAAATCGTTTCCTTTTATAGAAAATAATGTTTTTTTTTTTTTATTTTTCTGTTTCTAAATATAAATATGGAGGTAACAAGACAATGCCCCCCTGAGGATTTTTCTATCAATTGTTAAAATGGGAAACAATCCGGATCTCGAGTTATGAAGCCGTTAATATTAGACGGAAAGTACACAGTACAAAAACAGAATTTGTAATGAAACATTGAAATTGTCTGTACATATTTAATGAGGGGGGAATAGGTTTGACCCCGGGTACCCATTATGACGTTCTAAATCCTTCATCTTGAAATATAACAATCATTGTAAAAACAAAGCTTCAATAGAAGGATGCAGTACTATGAACACTTGGGAATAAAATAAATAGATTTAAAGACAATTGTACTTAATGTTTTTTTTTATAGATTATAATGGCATAGTAACTCCGCTTGCACTATCGGTATACACTGGCGGGGCACCAGTGAGGGATGATCGGTGAGGATGAAAAGGTAGGTCAGTTAGCCAATCATGACGAATTCAACGATAAATTAGTCACGATGGTTTCCAGGAGGAACCGCGTGGAGGTCGACCTGATAGGGTATATTGATAGCAATGGGGACTAACCCATTACTAACAATCCCTTACCCCCCGTATTTAATGTTACCAGAACATGTATGGGCTTTTAAATATTCAACGATTATTTTATTTTAGACACAATACAATTAAATAACGCCATATAATCCTAAGAGAGATTTGAAAAAATAACTGTTACGTTTCTTGTAGTTTTATACAATAGATAACTTTTCAAAACTACAACACACAAATATTGTTGTTTGTTTAAAAAAATTAAAGTGTATATATTCGGCAACAATTTTAATTTTTTTTCACCGCATAATAAAATTTCTGTTTTGCCAAAGGTTGACTGCGAGAGAATGCTATATAGTATTAAGTCCGCCTTTTGTACCAAACATTTTTTTATAATGTAGTCAATAAAGAATAAATAAGTGAAAATAAATGTATACCAATTTAAGGTATACATTTATTAAATAGGGTATTCGTGAGCCTGCGAGCCCCATCTTATATCCATATCTATCAGGTGAAATCGTAAAAAGTCGCGGGATCCTTTCAATAGTAAAAAAAATAACTTTTAAACTTAATGGACAATATTAATAATATTTTCGAATAAAAGTATATTGTTATGAAAGAAATAAGTAAAATGAAAAATTATTGAAATAAAAACTAATTCCCATAAAAGATCATCTTTATAAGCCTACTCAAATAAGGTTCATTTTGAGTTTTATTTATTCTTTATTATTGTACACAAAAAATTACAACATATAATATATATAAAATAAAGATGTACAACAGGCGAGCTTAACTCTGTAAGAGTTCTCTTCCAGCAAACCCTGAGTGGAAAGGAGCACTAATTATTAGCGGCAGTATGCGTACAATAATAGAAGGAAACATTATAGATGTTTCTATTAAAACATATGAAATATGTTGATATATATAAGTAACACATACAATTAAAATCAAAATACATACATATCTGTATACAATAATACATATAATAAATATATTTAGTTATTAAACTTTTTTTTTATACAAAAACAAGCATACATGATGGTAAGCATATATATATATATATAAGAACCCCATGCTGTATAATACATATATCATATATTTAGAAAGCATTATTAAAGCACAATCCGTTGTACAAGCGGTAGAACACGCAGAGTGAGGCAAAATCTCTCCTAAGACTTAACATGCTCACGGTTCTAATCTTAGTTGGAGTAGTCAGGGGTATTTGTAATTGTTGCATGTCCATACTTCACTGAGTAAATTATGCAATGCAGAAAACGAACCTACGGGCACGGGTGCAGCCATGAGCGAATACAAATTAATATTAAAATCATAGTACAGTCAAGATTTTCAGTATTTTGTTTTTCATTAGTATTCAAACAACAAACATAAAGACTAAACTTGGAGATAATTAAGAGGGAAAACTTATAAAGCAAAAACAAAATAATGAAATAGGAAAAAAGTTGAATTTTGTGATTCTAAATTGAATTCAGAACTTCTCTTAATATAAGTGTGTGCACGACGCACCTTTTTAGTTTCTTTTTTAAATTTATTAAAAAGATGTTATGTTTGTAATTTGAAGTGTGTGTCAGTTTCTCTTAATTTGATATGTATATTTTTTATATTATTATATTATCTTTCTAAAACACCATGTTTCCATACCAGCATACAGTCCTTTCGCCCACAAAGTGTATATTATATAAGTGTGTATAAACAATCACACAGAGGAAAGGTAAAACTTTAAAGAAAGCATAATACTTGTACTAACTGCACATACATAGTCTGTACTTCTAGAAAGCCTATTTTAATTTTTGTAAGCATGTATGTATTTGGCAACACGATTCCCGGTTCCTACAGGGCAGGCTCAGCCTAGTGTAGGAATCAATGATAAACTTTGTGCCTAAAAAACATACTTTGGTTAATAAGTACATTTTTACTTTTTTTTTCTACCTAGTTTTCTAAATTTATATCTTTAAGAACTGATTATAAAAACCCAAGTACATAACTATAATTATGTACCTTACTAAACGTCACTTCATTTTTGGTTTTTCGATATTAAGGTCATAAGAATATGTTGCTACTGAATGTATCAGAGTGTACTTCATAATACCTCATTTAATTAAAGTATGATGGTATAATTAATTAAAAATTATAAATGGACTCAAAATCATCATTAGCATCCTGGGAGTTTTTCATGTAACTTGAATAATAAACTGACGGCCCACTTAATGAAAAGTGGCAACTGTGACCTGAACAGACATGAACAGTACCATTGACACAACAGAGTTTATTATGTCGTATATAATAACCCTCATGCTTTACCATTCCTGAGGACTAAGGTTTTATGCCTTTGTACCCTTTAATTTCATGCCATATCCTACCCTTCAAACCGAAACACAGCTATGCAAACATAGCTGTTTCACGGCAGACACACAGATGGGATAGAGGTATCCAAGCAGACGACTTTGCACAAAGTCTCCCTCTGGATTATTCTACAAGTGAAATTTAATATTTTTCTCAAAGAAATTCAAGTCAAAAAATTATAAAATTTGATACTCCTTTACTAATATAATACGACGTGTTCTGCAAATAAATTTGTTTACGAAATTTTAAATGTTTTGTTAGGTTTCGACCTATATTACTTTGTGGAAAATTTCGCTGGTAAAATATCCCTTATAAAGACACTAATGTATTTTGAATTCATCATTTAGAACTAAGTAGTCCTTAGTAATGAGGTATTAAGAAGTACAGAGTAATGCGTGAGTAATTAAGAAGTACAGAGTAATGATCGAATCACCTTCAACGGAGAGTATAACGGCCATGTTGATCTTGGGTTCTGTATTAATCTGACATTCATAGACGCCAGCGTCTCGTGGTTGGACATAGTCGATCTTCAGGTCCCAGTCGTCAGATGGCTCTGGGTGTAGCACGCTAAACCTCGCATCTCCAGTATAGGTGAAGATGTGTGAGGTTAAGATGTGCAGATCACGTTTTCTCATCCATGATACCTACAAAAGAGAAATATCGTATTATAAAATAGAAATAAAGTATTGATTCTGCTACCAATATTGTTCCTATGTGAAGGATAATATATGGCAATGAATTACTGGATAGTGTAACTCAACATTTCTATGTTTGAAGGGTTGTAATATAAATAATGACTCTGGTATTGCTAGTGTTTCCGGGTTTTGATTTGCACAAGCATATGGTAAAGTATTTATTTCAAGTTTTCGTATAAAAAAAATACAAGTTGTTCTCGCGACTCGATTCGCATGATTAATTTTTGTATTTTTCCATGGTCATATGATATATTATTTTCGAATAAAAAGTATACTACAATATCTTAACTCGAATACGAGTACTACAGTAAATTTTATTAAAATTAGTCCATAAATTTTAGTAGCAAACTAAACTTGGTTGATGCACAAAAATTGAGTTTAGTTTTTATAATATGTATAGGTAAGATAAAGTAGATAGTAAAAATAATTATTTAAAAAGGAAAGAAAGAAAAATTAAGATATATCTACATACATATTTAGTGCATAATTTTACACTTAATTACAAAAATATTTTAATAATGAACAAAACGTAAAAGTAAAGCACTAAAAAAATTATAATATTTTTAATATAACATAACAAAAATTTTTTAAGAACATAAGAATTGCAGTGCAAAATAAGGTTATTATTTTGACGTAATAACATCAGATGAATCAACCGAGACAGGGCTAAACATATGTTATTATATATGCTCCAAAAGTCCTTGGACCTAGTAAGTATCACGTGTCAGTGGCTCATTAATAAACAAACAGAGGCGTACTCTAACCGGCCCATAACTTATCTCTCATGGCTCCACCTGGAAACCTCTCCAAAATATCATTTTTCAATGTCGAATTCCTCATTGGGCCCTCGATATCCCTTCTCAGCCACGCTCGGCTGACCGCCATATTAATGGTTGAGGGATCCACAACCCATTCTAGAAAATAAATAGCCCTCTGACATGTCTCTCGATGCATTATAATATATTGTTCGGTGGGATTATCTAACATCATTTTCTTATAAAAAAGGTCTCTCGCAGGACTTTTTCATGTTTATCTAATCTTGTAAAGGTCAATAGCATTATATTATCTATACTATTATTGTATCTACTGATAATGTAAAGAGATACTGATTAATTGACTCATCGTTGTAAAAATGATGAGGTCGTAACAAATGGAGGCCAGGAAATTTTAAAAATCGAACTCTTATTTGTTTTTTTTTTTTGGAGAGACAAACAAGCCAGCTCTTCTGGCGAAAAGTGGCCACATATATAAATAATTATTACAATACAGTATAACTCAAGATAGTCATTATTTAGCAGTGCCTTAGGTGATGGTTTGCAAGCGATAAGTTTAATGAAATATCTAAAGATCTCGATTTACATTTATTTAATTCTAAGATAGAATCCGCAAGACGTGTGCTAAGTCAGGGGTTCTTTGATAATTCATCTTTGAATGTGTGATTTAAATTTTTTATTTGCATAACTGCCTATCTGTAACTTTTGTATTACTATAACGTTGTTATTCTAAGTTTAATTTAGTCGATTGTAAGTATTAGCAATGCCATGTGGATTTAGTTAAATCTGGTTTGTATTTGTGAAAACCTTTTTTTTTTTATACAACTTAGAATGGCAAACAAGATGACGGTCCACCTGATGGAAAGTGGACTTTGTACAAAAGTCGATGGACATGGTTTCGCCCATGATCCCCTCTGTTTCTGAGGACTCAGGTGGTATTCCTCTGTGTAAATTCACGCCATTCAACACAGCCATGCAAACACAACTGCTTCACGGTAGAAACATTGGGACAGAGGTACCCAGCAATCGACTGTAATTGGCTTTCTGTTTTTATTGTCTTCTTTCATTACGAAATGTTTCAGCTGTTGATTTTTTCTTTAATAAAAAGTAAAATAAATAACTATCGCATGTTATCCTATATTATAATCATTTATATCGAATTTGCCCGCGTTATATATTTGGAGATCTCTCCTACCATCATAGCCGACTGCACGCACACAGCGACAAACAGGGGGAAAGGGATTATTAGCAATGGAGTATGACAGCTCCATTGCTGGCAATATGCCCTATATATATATAATATCATGGGCGAAACGGTATACTCTGTTATGTCCACGGTACTGCTCACGTTTATAGTCGACGGTTACCACTTTCCATCAGGTGGACCGTCAGCTTGTTTGCCATTATAAGTTGTACAAAAAAAAAAAAACTATGTGGACAGTATTAAAGAGCACCGCTTCTGCATCTTTCCTGAGCTGCCTCGGAATCCCAACTGTCTGAGGTGTTCTTCCAGACTGGTTGGGATTATTATTGGTTATTTATTTATTTATTATTCTTCGGGCTACGTCGGTCACTCCCATACTTCTGCGGAAATTGTCATTTCTATTACGCAAAGATACTCCGAGCATGGGCTTTTTCCATAGCTCGCTGAGTAACATGAAGATTTTGTATACGGGTGACCTTATATGTATAATAATTTAGCCTGTACTAATTTCGGAATGAAACGAAATATATTTTATTTAAGCTACAAATTAAGTTAACAAAATAAGTAAATAAAAATAAGCAACCGCCATTTTCAATCAACGTTTGAATGTGTGCGTTAAATTTGGTAAAATTAATTGGTTTTCTAGGTTCTGTCTATTTACGTTGCCGACTTTTGAATAATTTGATTAAGTTACCCCATTACATTAACATGAATTACGTTCTAAGTGGTTTTACTAATCCAAACTCAAAGTAACAAATTGACTCTGGGAATTTTAAAGGTCCCTTTTAAAGAAGTTGTAATGCATAGATTGTTATTACGATTTGAGGGCAAAATTGCTCTCTGTTTAAATAGATACAGCTCAAACGTTGCTATTTCTAGCGAATAATCCATACAAGTGGCAACATCATTCTTTGAGCTATGAGCGACGCAGTATAAGTATACTGTGACTTTTATTTCTTTAGACGGTTACCAGTTTCTGTCAAGTGAGCTTGTTCCTATAAAAAGTTTATATTTTCGATTTTTTTTGCCTAAATAAACATTACACTTATTCGTGGATTCGAGAATTTTTATTGATCAATACGAGTATATGAGGTGAAGGGATTGCTAGTAATGCGGACTACCAGTCTCATTGCTAGCAATATACCCCGTCAGGTCGACCTCCACGTGGTCGCTCCTGGAAACCATCATGCTGAATTGCAGGTACATTTATCACGATGGGCTAACTGGCCTACCTTTTCCTTTTTGCCTTTCACCTATCATCCCTCACTGGTGCCCTGCTAGTTTATACCGTTAGTGCAAGCGGGGTTACCATTCCATTACCATCCATTAAAAAAAAATATATATATAAATTTTTGTTTCTTATAAAATGAAATCTAGTTTATTGTTTGATAGTGTCTGGTTTGTTAAAGTTTTAATTAATGGAAAAAAATCTAATTTTTTTTTACAACACGGGGCAAACGAGCATGCGGCTCACCTGATGGTAAGTGACTACCGCCGCCCATGATCATCCACAACACCAGCGGCATTGCAGGTGTGCTGCCGGCCTTTTAAAATGCAATATACTTTTTCTAGAAGATTACGATGTCGTATTATTTTATGTAATTATATATTTAAATTATATTTATTATTTTACTATTTCATGTCTATAGGTATTAAGTCTATTTTCGTCAGCTTGTTTGCCATTCAAAGGTACATGAAAAAGATATATTTATTTTAACAATATTTCCAAATTACATTTGTTACTTGAATTGTAACCAATAATTGAAACAGGCTAAAACGTGTTCAGTAAATTATATTAATCATAAAAATTGGCTTATAATCGACGAAGTTAACAAAACGACAAAAAAGCAGTCGAAACGAGATCGTTTACGTATTATAATCACTTGAAACCGTTAAATTCCAAGAAGACGCCGATACGGAACTTAAAAATAATCCGTCCTAGAAACTAAGATAAAACGTTCACATTTCCCAACAGCGTTGTGCGTTTAATTCGTCAAATTTCTCTAAGGGCCAAAGAATTCGAGCTGAGGAAAAATGCCATGGGCCGCTTAGCCGTTACTTAATTTTATTATTTTAAAGGCTGTAAAGAGACTGTGGACGCTTCATCTTGGTTAATTACAGGGCAGGCTTACGTTGGCTCACTCCAACTCTCTAATTACGTACAAAAACAAAAACCCAACAGAGGCGGGGAATTTATTTTCTAATTTCTCAGTCTTGGGGCCGCTCGAATTAAAAATATAATTCAAACGTTTATTGTTGGTGTAATTTTAATCAAAAAGGCGGCAGCCGCTGTCCAGAGATCGAGTAGTTATTAAATGAAAATATTCACAAATATTCACGGCTGTGAACGTAGATGGAGGAGTCAGTGGCGGCCTGTTGGGACGAACACTCGACGTGCTTGAGGTCATTTGAATTTAACGTAATTATTATTTGAATTCTTAATATAAAGTGTACACTACCAGATTAGACCTTTGGGTTATGTAAATCTATATTATAAATATGGACTTGCCGGCAGCTCACTAACAATACAACAAAAATGTTTGTTATACAAACATTTTTTTTTTGTAATGTAGTCAAATAAATAAATAAATACTGAAGCTATACCATACTATTATAACAGCTAATTAGAAAGTAGTTTAATGTTATATCTACCGGTTTAGGTTACGTATAATTATATCGAGAAAGCTCGACTAGTTTCGGGCTTAATACAAGATCCTTAGTCTTTAGATATTAGGAAGTAGTAATCAAAATACACTACCAGATTATCTTATTAGTAATATAAACTATTATAAGTATTAGCTTGTTTTGAATCTTATAGACTTCAGGTTTTAATCTAAAAAAAGAGTAAAACTAACTAAATTACATAAACAATTTTAGATTTGATATTTGAGATTTTTATAAACAGTCTTCTTTTCATTTAAGAGTTTCCTCTTGTCGGTGCAACTAATTTATGCATCTTCTTCCAGCCAGCTCTATCCCAGGCCATATCCTTTATATCCCTATACGACATGACACCTAGTGTTTCCTTTATCTGTCCCATGTAGTTATTCCTCGGTCTTCCTCTTCCTCTTTTGCCCTCTGCTTTCCTTCTACTATGCTCTTAAAAAAATCGCCATATCGTATAAGGTGGCCCAGCATCTTTGTATGTTATAATCATTATCACCATATCAGCCTTTAACTGTCCACTGCTGAACATAAGCCTCCCCCTTGTAGTTTTGTCAGTAGTTACTACACTTGGCAAGTGTATTGGCAACCGCAGTTAAGCTTTGGAGATGTTTCAAGTAAATTTTGTACGTGATATCCGTAGTATATTCACAGAATCACTACATAGTATAAAACAAAGTCGCTATAGCTGTCTGTCCGTCTCTATGTATGCTTAAATCTTTAAAACTACGCAACGGATTTAGAAGCGATTTTTTTATAATAAATTTAGTGATTCAAGAGGAAGGTTTATATATATAATACATGCATATTATTGTAGAGAAACATTGTTAAATTTAGAGATTTCTAATGTGATGTTGTAAATAAACACACTTTTGCGCTTACATTGCAAATGCTGGCTGAACCCCACGAGATAAATCAAAATAATGTACTACACCTTAAAAAAGGTTAACAAAAAAGTCCGCGATGGTATATCTCTATCTCTTAAGGATAACCCACAATAACCATTTTTTATCCTTTACATTTTACGGGAAAAAGTGGCTTATTTACGAAGTGATTTTAAGCAATACAGGATAAATTTTTATCCAATTATGTACCTTAAATACATTGTTCATTTAATGTAGATCAATATGGCTCTTTATAGCATATAATTTTTATAAATATTTTCGAAGATATTACAGATTTAAAATATAAGGACATAGCGGTTGCGTCGGTACCAGCCGGAGGGGGGGGGGGGGGGGGGGGGGCTAGTATCAGCATTGCACCCGTGCGAAGCCGGGGCGGGTCGTTAGTTAACATTAAATTACACAATACGTTAATTTACATAATAATATGATTAAATGCCGCTTTATATAGCAATATTCCCGTCTTATATGTAATATTGTCACGATGTACTCGTAACGCTAAGCATTACGAGATTTTGCGAAGCAAGTCGTCGAGTGTGCCTACTTATTTTTTCCCATTCACCTGAATGGGATATTTTAGATATGTCCCATAAAATGCAAATGTTTTGCGTCTTTTAAACCATAATATGTTCCCATCATTATATTATCATGATATCAGCCTTTAACTGTTTACTGTAGAACATAAGCCTCCCCCAGTTTTGCCAGTAGTTGCCACGCTTGGCGGGCAGATTGGCAACCGCAGTTAGGCTTTAGAGATGTTTTAGGAGGGACGCTGCTGCCCATCTCTCGCCCTTCCTTAGTCGGCTCTTACGACACAATATGTTTACATATTCTTTATCAAATAGTATTCATTATACATAAATTTTTGAAATGTTTTTTAAAAAATCTATGGGTTATAATTGTTAACAAATATTTTTGACTTCTTTTTATATTTTCAATTGACATCAAAAAGAAAAAGGTTCTCGATTGTGTTTTTTTTTTATGTCTGTTACCTCATAACTGCGTTAGTTTTAAACTGATTTGTAAATTTTTATTTTGTCTGAACATGTGTCTATATATTATTTAGATTGGTAAGTCTATATAGAAATTTTATCATCTGGCTGGTAATTTGTCTGTCAGTAGTTTAATTCTTAAATCAAAATGACTGGTTTATCACAATTGAAGTCATTTGTATATTTATCTCATCATCATCGTTATCATCTCGGCCCGTATCAGTTCACTGCTGAATATAGGACTTCCCACAAACCGCCATAAAAAACAGTCTTGAGCCACTTGCATCCACTGACTCTCTGCAATGCATTTGAGATCGTAATTCCATCTACTGGAAAGTTGTCCTACATTGCGTTTTCCCATATGGGGTAGCCAACTAGCCACTAAAGAACTTTTCTTTCGCATCGGTTGTCGGTTCTTTGAGCTGTGTGACTAGGCCATTGCCTCTTTAGCTTGTTTATATCCTACCATAATTAAATTATGGTTACTACTTGACTGGACACCAACAGTACCGTGATGGTTATTGTTTAAATAATACATTTTATTCTAAATAATTTCATTTACAATGGCAAACAAGCTGACGGCCCACCTGATGGAAAGTGGTAACATAACAGAGTATACTGTTCACTCATGAAACAACTCCCATGCGTTGCCATTCCTTAGAACTCAGGTTTTCTTCTTCTGTACTCTGTAAATTAATTGTCATATCCTACCCTTCAAACCGAAACACAGCCATGCAAACACAACTGCTTCACAATAGAAACACAAATGGGACATAGGTGCCCAAATAAACGACTTTTGTACAAAGTCTCTCTCTGGTTAGTTATTTAACTTAGTTAATTCGGCAAATACGATATTTTTGTAATGGTAAAATGTGTCATTCCCATAGGAAAATACAATAATTTGCTCCACAAATAACATAGCTCGTTTAAAAATCAATAAAATTCATTCATATTTTATAAATAACATAGATATCCAAAAAAAACAAGCGTAAAAACAATTATATTCACCGTGTAGATTTTGTTTTCATAGTGGAATTTATTACAAGCAACTAACATTCGTTTCACCTTTTTTACATTTTTATAAATTCACGCTGAATTATTCTTTTATTTTTACCGTTCCCTTTATTTATCTTTGCGTGATTTATTTAATCATTTTAACGCATATTTCAAAAATAGAATTACTGAGAATGATTTATATATTTTTTTTTTTAATATTTCAATAATTTTAAAAATAAAATATGTTTGCGCTTATATTTTATAGTACAAAAAGATTCGATTCCTGTACAATACTAACGTTTTGTATTTTTGTGTATTTTTGTATTTTTTTTTTTTTATACTGAGAATAGAATAACATGGATATAACAGAGTATACTTATGCCCCTCATGCGTTGCCAAAATATATTTTTTTAATATTTCAAAGAGATTAATGTCGTCAAATGGGACAGAGGTGGAGTTGTATATATATATATATATATATATATATATATATATATATATATATATATATATATATATATATATTTATAAATATTTCAGCCGTTACCTATTCACTGCTGGACATAAGCCTTCTCCATAAGGGGAGCCTTGCTAGTAGTTTAGCAAGTACTTGTTTTAAAAAGGACGCTGCTGCGCTCATCCCTTGCCGTCCCTAAGTCGCCTCTTATGACACCTACGGGAAAGGAAGGGGTGGCCTATTCTATGCCGGGGGTCATACGGCTATATATATATATATATATATATATATATATATATATATATATATATATATATATATATATATAATATATATACATATACATATACACACATATATATTATTAACTGTTTTTATCTTTGATGATTTTTATCTCACCTATTACCCTTCACTGGTGTTCCGCCAGCGTGTACTATCACTTACAGGCTTACTATACCATTATAATCACATAAAAAAAACACTCACTGTCCTATTCCCTATATGCTTAGCTCTGCATCTCAAGATGGCGGCTTGTCCCACGACAGCCGACACGTTTCTCGGTGATACGTCGTCGAAGTACGGTCGTTCGGGCCTCGCGCCCTCACCACCGCCCCCTACACCCGGAAGCACCCCGAGACCTGAAAAGATAAAGACAAATTAGAATTTAAATATCACTAGACAATTTGTACAGCGACATCTAGTCTTAAACTAAGCAAAACTTCTACTAGTGAGTATATTATAATATAACTAATCGAATTAATACTTTTTTTTTATGGAAACGAGTACATGCAACCTACCTATCTTTATTAAATTTGTATATATAAAAGTGAGTTTTGTTTATTTGTTACCTTAACTATATCCCCTATATGGGATGAAGAAAGATATAGGTCCCTTAATAAACTCAGTAAATATACCTCGGTCACGCGAATGAAGACGTGGCAGTATACTAGTTAATATTATAAATTTTAATGTAATGAATATCGATTTAATTTACGTGTAATTAGATTGAGAAAGCTCAACTAGTTTTGGGATCAATTCATGATCCTTATTCATGAGCAGCTGTGACGTATATAATGTGTACTTACGAAAGTTCTAACAATAAAATATTATATTACCAGAGGAAGACTTTATACAAAAGTCATTTGCTGTCCCATTCGTGTTTCTACCGTGAAGCAGTTGTGTTTGCATGACTGTGTTTCGATTTGAAAGGTGGGGTATGGTAGTGAATTTACAGGGTACAGAGGAATAACACCTGAGTCCTCAGGAATGGCAACGCATGGGGAGTATTATAGGTGAAACAGTGTACTCTGTTATGTCCATGGTACTGCTCATGTCTATAAGCGACGGTTACCACTTTCCATCAGGTGGACCGTCAGCTTGTTTGCCATTCTAAGTTGTATAAAAAAATGTGTAAATTTGTAAGCATGGATACATATTTGTTACTTTTTCATGCAATAATACGAAATACTTGACGAGTGTTTCCAAAGATATATCTACTAGTTGACCAAGGGTAATGTCTGACTAGCATAGCAAATGTTCAATCCTTTGTTAAATTAACTAACAGTGAGTTTTTCCGTCTCTAATGAAGTAGTTAAGGATGTCGTAAGGTGCTAATGGGCGGTACTTAACGGAAACGAGTTAAGGCATTAAACTAATACCATTTACCATTAGTTTTTTTTTTTTTTGTTATATGGCTACATATATTTTATTTAACCCAATAATTTTATAAATGTAAAATGTATATATATTTTTTTATATTTTTAAACTATAAAATACTAATTGTTAGGTTCAATCGCGAAAGTATAATACGAAATCAATAAAAAATAATAATCATAATCGGTTCGCAATCAGTGAAGATATTGTTGAATTCAGATACAATACGAAATGAAAATTTTCTCCATTTTTTAATAACATCATTTTTATTTAAACATCAATATTAAAAAAAAATGTTTAAATACCTGTGCCCTAGTCCCATTCTGCCATCAAACATATACACAGCGTATATTGGTAAAGTATTTGTATGATTAAAGGATTAGAAATTATAGTAAAATTATACGGTATGGAGACGAAAACAAAGTTATTCTCAGAAATCAAAACAAGGGCGTCTCAGTATATTTTATGATGTTCAGATGTCCACGGGGCTGTTCGTGTCTATAGACAACGGTTGCCGCTTTCCTTTATATGAGCCATTAGCATTTTTTTATACCACAAAGGTGGCAAACAAGCATACAGCCAGTTTGATGGTAAACGGTCACTGTAGCCTATAGGCGCTTACAACACTAGGGATATCACATGCGCGTTGCCGACCCTGAAGAAACCTTAATAAAGCTTACAAGCGCATGCTATTCTAAAATGCATATAAAAATACAACTAAAAAGAATAAAATACATACAAAGTGCAGCAGATATTTACATGTGGCATAAAAAAAGCAACGTATCATTATCATAGTGTCCCGGCGTCGGTGCGCGTCGTTAGTTTCCGGTGAGTCACGCCGAACCGGAAATAAGAAACGCCCGCCCTCTACGGACTAAATACTGACAATCTATGGTTGGGCCATTATATTTATTGTATATTATATCTAGTGCATTTTTTTATGCAACTTAAAATGGCAAACAAGCTGACGTTCCACTTGATGGAAAGTCGTAGCTATTGCCTGTAGACATGAACTTTGTCTATACCCTTTATGCGTTGCCATTCCTGAGAACTAAGGTATTATGCCTCTGTATCTTGTAATTTCTTTGCTATATTCCTACCCTCCAAACCACAACACAGCCATGTAAACTTTATAAGGTTATAATGAAATTTAATGAAAAGTTGTTAAAATTATCACAAATACAGTCTCTAGGGGGGAAAGGGATTGTTAGCAATGGAGTTTGACATTGCTAGTAATATGCCCTATCAGGTCGACCTCCACGTGGTTCCCCCTGGAAACCATCGTGAACAATTCTTGTTGTATTTGTCACGATGGGCTAACTGACCTGCTTCATCCTCATTCATCATTTATTATTATATTTGTTTGCGTGTATTTTCATTGAATGCTATTAATATAAACAATACAACCATATTGTTTCGCTCTGTTACCTAATCGCTCAACCAACGTAGAAATTCACACCATGCAATATCGTAGATAAACAAAACTACATCAGCAATAAACTTAATTTGAACAGACTGTATTTATAAATAGGCTAAAATGAGTTTGGAACCAGAGGGAGACTTTGTACAAAAGCCGTGTGCTTGGGCACCTCTGTCCCATTCGTGTTTCAACCGGAAAACAGTTGTTTGCATGGCTATGTTTTAGTTTGAAGGGATATGGCGTGAATTTACAGGGTACAGAGATTGCTTAGCAATAAGACCGCCTTTTGTACTACACTATACGTATTGAAAATTGTTTTAACAAATCATGTTATGTTGGTGCAATAAAGTGTTAAATAAATAAATAAAAATAAATAACATCTGAGTCCTCAGGAATGGCAACGCATAGGGGGTATCATGGGCGAAACAGTATACTCTGTTATGTCCATGGTACTACTCATGTCTATAGGCGATGGATACCACTTTCCATCGGATGGGCTGTCAGCTTGTTAGCCATTCTAAGTTGTATAAAATATAGTTAAATCGCTCGTTTAGTGTCCACAAGTAATAAGTTCGCGGTGCACCGCAGAAATGGAAGTGACACCGGTGGCGTCTCTTTGTGCCGCGCGGCGTGAAGGTTGAATCTTTTGTCTGCGTATTCTTTTGCTCTTCTTGAGAGCTGTGTCAATTTCAGTGTTTCGTGTAGTACAGTTCATAATAAAGCACGGTTTTGAATGTACAATATGTACTTTGATATTGCATACTTTTTGCATCAGACTTCGAAACGGAGAATGTTTTGTAATTTGGCTGTTTTATTTTTGTATGTCTCGTAATACCTTCAGTATGGATCGATCAATGCAACGTGAGTGCAGAGAAGAGTGTATAATACTAAGGGTATTTTATGTACATATGACTACACTAACAATCCGCCCTTGCTTCGTACGAGTTAGTCAGCTAGCACTAGTGTTTATAGGCATTATTTTATATTTTTAATCATATTATTATAATTTTTATAGGCATCTTTAATTTACTGAAATTAGTATTAAGCCCGTACTGTATATTATTATATGTTACTCGCTGATAATATATAGGCTTGCTACCTACCATGTTGTATTCTAGGGGCACCAGTGAGAGATGATAGGTGAAGATGAAAGCAGGCCAGTTGGAGCATCATGATGAATCAGACAATAATTAACCTAACCTTAAATTAGGGGTAATCGTGTAAAGATCAACCTAATAGGGCATAAATAACGATGGGTGCTAGCAATGGTTACTAACATCCTCGTTACTAACAATCCTTTCTCCCTTGTAACGTATTAGGTATTTATGTATATTATAACGGTAACAGTCGGCAAATACCCTTAACTACAGTTGTGAATTGTACTCTAATGGGAGGGAAGGACGTGTTACTATTGGAGATTAGTGACCACATTGTCAAAAATATACCCCGTCAGGATTTTTTTTATACAACTTAGAATGGCAAACAAGCTGTCGGCCCACCTGATGGGAAGTGGTAACCGTCGCCTAGAGACATGAGCAGTATCATGGACATAACAGAGTATACTGTTTCGCACATAATACCTCCCATGCGTTGCTATTTCTGGGGACTCAGGTGTTATTCCTCTGTACCTTGTAAATTCACGCCCTTCAAACCCTTCAAACCGAAACACAGCTATGCACACACAACTGCTTCACGGTTGAAACACGAATGTGACAGAGGTACCCAAGCAATCGACTTTCTTCAGCCCTCCCTGGAAACCATCATAGTTAATACCAAATTAATCACAATGAACTAACTGACTTATTTTTATCTTCACCAATCATCACTCATTGATGTTCTACCTATGTATACGGATTGTACTGAGTTACTATTCCATTTTTATCATTGAAATAAAAACTATGCTTAGATAGGGCAGTCAGTATTTATTTGCATTATGCTAATAATAGAAATGCCACACAGAAATGTTAATGCGGCCGTTATGAAATTGGTTAATAGCATATTTTGTGTTTAAAACAGGATTGTGAATTGTCAGGGGGGGGGGGCGGCGGGGGCGGCGTTCGTGTCAGTTGCAACGCTTGGCAGCATGACAACATGGAGTTGCAATCACGCGAACCGAATATAGCTACTAGCTACGTGATATAATGTAATGAGGTTTCTGATTTATTGGATTGTAAAAATTGTAAATATTTATGGAAATTTTCATACGGAATAAATTTTTTGAACATTTCTTTCTACGTAGGATTACATTAAAACCGACTCCCAGCAGCAGTATTATCCAGAAGTGGATAGTAATAGTGGTATATAAAAAATGAGCGGCAACAAACAAAAATATCTCTGTTTTCATATCACGATGAATCTGTTTTAATTCTATTTATACTATTATATGTATATGTAAAGAAATGATAATTCTTAAGCTTATATGTAGACGCACAGTGCGTCTACATTGATAAATCGCTAATTATCTTATATATATATATATATATATATATATATATATATATATATATATATATATATATATAAGATAATGTATAGTTACCACCAAAAAATCAATCTGTCTTTATT